ATTGTGAATAATAGGAAATTGATGACATCAAGTGTTAAACATATAAATCGTTGATTCACGTGATTGTACATCAATAGTCACTCATCAAGCAATATAATATTTGATGGCTCTGATAAATATTACAATATGGAATATACTCTTCAATGACGTTGATTAAAATCCATTACGTGCGGTATTTAACGCTGCCGAAATATTAAAAAAAAATGCTTTCAAAATTTCCTGCATTTTTTGTACTTTTATCTTCATAAGGATTGCGATCGGTACATTACTGCCAAAATATGACCATGTAACTTAGGAGCCTGGGAAGTAAGACTTCTTCTAAGGCACAGGTGGAACAAGTTCTTGTGACGTGTTTTGAACAGAAGCCACACAGAGAATGGTACATACCGAGTAGGATGTAAATACTGAAGATCTCGTCTGAATTTAATATTGCTGGAGACCATCGTTGTCTTAACAGTGTTGCCGTGCATGAGTTAAGGTGACTGTACTCTAGTTAGTAGGGAACTAAGTATTACGTATTTGGATTTTTTCTTTTTAAAAGCGATCTCTCTCTCTCTCTCTCTCTCTCTCTCTCTCTCTCTCTCTCTCTCTCTCTCTCTCTCTCTCTCTCTCTCTCTCTCTTCCTTCACACACACACACACACACGTGCAAAACAAGTCAAGTGTCTATCGACATTGCCTTTGACAGCCGGTAAGTAACGCAAGAAGTTACTACCACTGGCGTGCTTGGCCCACCATGTTTGTTCTCTGTAGAGTGAGATCCTGAGATATTCCTGAGTAAAGACAATCCCAAACTGTTGAAGACTCGAGTTTCCCGTTTTGGATGTTGGTGACGTGCTTGTAAAGACCAGTCAGTCTAGCCGTATACCATGTCTCCATCCTTGTATATTTCAGAGTCTTTGGTAATGGTAAATTGGTGGTGTATATTTCAGAGTTTCTGGTTATAGTAAGCTGGTAGTGTATATTTCAGAAACTCTGGTAACAGTAAGCTGGTAGTGTATATTTCAGAAGCTCTGGTAGCAGTAAGCTGGTAGTGTATATTTCAGAATCTTTGGTAACAGTAAGCTGGTAGTGTATATTTCAGAAACTCTGGTAACAGTAAGCTGGTAGTGTGTATTTCGGAAACTCTGGTAACAGTAAGCTGGTAGTGTATATTTGAGAATCTCTGGTAACAGTAAGCTGGTAGTGTATATTTCAGAATCTCTGGTAACAGTAAGCTGGTAGTGTGTATTTCGGAAACTCTGGTAACAGTAAGCTGGTAGTGTATATTTCAGAATCTCTGGTAACGGTAAGCTGGTGAAAGGTCGAGAAGGTGAGACATCAGGTTAAAAGCACCGAGGTAAAATCTCTTGCTAAGCGTATTTGTTAGAATTAATTAGTTAAGTGTAGGTTAGAGAAAATAAGAAGAGAGCAGACGAATATTATTTAGTATGAGGTATAAAGGTAATAGCTAGTGTACTGCATTATGAACTAGAAGATGAAAGAGGATCAAGGAGAGTCATGAATTAAGAGGATCAAGGAGAGTCATGAATTAAGAGGATCAAGGAGAGTCATGAATTAAGAGGATCAAGGAGAGTCATGAATTAAGAGGATCAAGGAGAGTCATGAATTAAGAGGATCAAGGAGAGTCATGAATTAAGAGGATCAAGGAGAGTCATGAATTAAGAGGGTCAAGGAAAGTCATGAATTAAGAGGGGTCAAGGAAAGTCATGAATTAAGAGGATCAAGGAAAGTTGTAATGAATTAAGAGGATCAAGGAGAGTTGTAATGAATTAAGAGGATCAAGGAGAGTTTTAATGAATTAAGAGAATCAAGGAGTCATTATAGATTCAGAGGATGACTGGGAGAGTCGTTATTAGGTATCCCCCCAAAAGGATATACCTACGAATCACATAACGGGTGGGGCAACCCATAAGTTTAAATCCCACCCGTTCAGCAATTTTCTGCAAAAGTGTTCTTACGATTTCCAGAGTCATAATATAATTGGTGTAGAGTTTTTCCCCACCACTTCTCCCTCCCTCCGAGGTTTTCGGGTAACCTGAGAACGTCCCTTGTACCTTAGTTTAACTTATAACGCTGGTGTAAACTTCGTAAAGGAAGGTCCATAATTTTTATTGGATTGCTTAAGTCCCAATTTCATTGTCAGTATTGGGTGTTATTTTTCTCCTTGCGATTGCGTGAGAATGAGGCCCTTTCTTAAATAGTTCACATATACGGTGTTGTATCTAATGCAAAGCAGTGATAAGATTTGTTATTAACCGTGTAGGGTCAACTTTACCAGTTTATAAGGCCTGGTGCTGCTTCACATCCCAAGGCCAAGTTGGTTGTGCAACTTGTTTGGGTGTTGACTACAATAGTTTGTGTGTCTTAGTTCGGTTCTCAATAGCGTATTTGCTGTCATCCCTGGTAGTTGCTGCATCAGGTCATTAATGTTATTAGTTGTGCTTGCCTCTTCAGCTCATTTTTATCCGTTGTATCTTCTGTCTCGGCTCATCCATGGTATATGCTGCCTCAACACATCATCCATGGTATATGCTGCCTCAACACATCATCCATGGTATATGCTGCCTCAGCACATCATCCAAGGTATATTCTGCCTCAGCACATCATCCATGATATATTCTGCCTCAGCACATCAACCATGAGATATGCTGCCTCAGCACATCATCCGTGGTATATGCTGCCTCAGCACATCATCCGTGGTATATGCTGCCTCAGCACATCATCCGTGGTATATGCTGCCTCAGCACATCATCCGTGGTATATGCTGACCCAGCACATCATCCATGGTATATACTGCCTCAGCACACCATCCATTGTATATACTGCCTCAGCACATCATGATATATCCTGCCTCAGCACATCATCCATGGTACATGCTGCCTCAGCACATCAACCATGGTACATGCTGCCTCATCACATCATGGTATATGCCGCCTCAGCACATCATTCATGGTATATGCTGCCTCAGCACATCATCCATGGTATATGCTGCCTCAGCACATCATCCATGGTATATGCTGCCTCAGCACATCATCCATGGTATATGCTGCCTCAGCACATCATCCATGGTATATGCTGCCTCAGCACATCATCCATGGTATATGCTGCCTCAGCACATCATCCATGGTATATGCTGCCTCAGCACATCATCCATGGTATATGCCGCCTCAGCATATCATCCATGGTATATGCTGCCTCAGCACATCATCCATGGTATATGCTGCCTCAGCACATCATCCATGGTATATGCCGCCTCAGCACATCATCCATGGTATATGCTGCCTCAGCACATCATCCATGGTATATGCTGCCTCAGCACATCATCCATGGTATATGCTGCCTCAGCACATCATCCATGGTATATGCTGCCTCAGCACATCATCCATGGTATATGCTGCCTCAGCACATCATCCATGGTATATGCTGCCTCAGCACATCATCCATGGTATATGCCGCCTCAGCACATCATCCATGGTATATGCTGCCTCAGCACATCATCCATGGTATATGCTGCCTCAGCACATCATCCATGGTATATGCTGCCTCATCTCCTTGTCATTCGTGGTTGGTAAGACACATGCAACACCTGGGTGTCTTTATTTCAGAATAAAGATACGCAAGTGTTGCACATGTCTTATTTATAAATTTGTCTGTATTATATACCATTTCTGCTGCCACCTGTGGTACCTGCTGCCACCTGTGGTACCTGCTGCCACCCGTGGTACCTACTACCACCCGTGGTACCTGCTGCCACACGTGGATCCTGCTGCCACCCGTGGTTTCTACTGCCACCCGTGGTTCCTACTGCCACCCGTGGTACCTGCTGCCACACGTGGATCCTGCTGCCCTCCGTGGTTCCTGCTGCCCTCCGTGGTTCCTGCTGCCAACCATGGCTCCTGCTGCCACCCGTGGTACCTGCTGCCATCTGTGCTTCCTGCTGCCACCCATGGTACCTGCTGCCACCCGTGGTACCCGCTGCCACCCGTGGTACCTGCTGCCACCCGTGGTACCTACTGCCACACGTAGTTCCTGCTGCCACCCGTGGTTCCTGCTGCCACCCGTGGTTCCTGCTGCCACCCGTGGTACCTGCTGCCACCCATGGTTCCTGCTGCCACCCGTGGTTCCTGCTGCCACCCGTGGTTCCTGCTGCCACCCGTGGTACCTGCTGCCACCCGTGGTACCTGCTGCCACCCGTGGTTCCTGCTGCCACCCGTGGTACCTGCTGCCACCCGTGGTACCTGCTGCCACCCGTGGTTCCTGCTGCCACCCGTGGTACCTGCTGCCACCCGTGGTTCCTGCTGCCACCCGTGGTACCTGCTGCCACCCGTGGTACCTGCTGCCACCCGTGGTTCCTGCTGCCACCCGTGGTACCTGCTGCCACCCGTGGTACCTGCTGCCACACGTAGTTCCTGCTGCCACCCGTGGTACCTGCTGCCACCCATGGTTCCTGCTACCACCAGTGGTACCTACTGCCACCCGTGGTTCTTGCTGCTACCCGTGGTACCTGCTGCCACCCGTGGTACCTGCTTCTTCAGTTCACAGTATGGGGTGCTGCTGCCTCAGCTCATCAATGAGACTGCAGCTTCCAAGGTGGGGTTTTAGCTGGTATCTTTAGAAGAAAACGATTTCGTTTTATTTTTTTGTTTTAACTGCGTTTTACAGTTACCTTTTTCTTCCGGTAAACTCCAGCGGAAATTATATGCTGGGAAATAAACCATGAATCATTTGTGAGAGGAAAACCTTTATCGTGACTTAAACGTGGAAGAGCAAAATTATATAAAAAATTACATATAAAAAAACATTTATATCACAGAATTATATATGGAAAAGCAAATGTATATGGTTGAAACTAGTTTACCTCTCGTTATCCTTACAATGTATGACTCGTGTGGGTTTAGTGTTACCCCCATGAATATCCTGAATTACAAACAATAATGAGCCTAGTCGAATTCGGAAAATGTAGATCACTCGTGTATAATTATTTTTTATTTATTTCAGAATGTGCTAAGTGTATTGTGAATATGATAAGTATAAGTGAAACGTGAAAAAATGTAAGTGAAAAGTTCAGAACATTGCTTTGAAAATTGAATTTGTGATTTAAGATTAAGATAGTGACGGTTGAAAATTATTTACTAGATATATATAAATTGATGCGAGTTATTGGCTGAAAGAGTGCATGTAAAAAGAGTTTTTAGTGAATATTAATTTAGAAGAGGGTAGAGGAGAGGGTCGGTGGGGTGATCATTTTAGTTGGTTCACTGGGTAATACATTCACCATGGCTGCTCCTGGCGAACACACAGAAGAAGGTGCCCCCTCTCACTCCTTCCTGTACCCTAAACCCGGCGACATCCTCTCCAGAAGCCACGGCCACGTCACCACTGGCTTCAGCAAGTCCATACAGACTCATTCTGTGAGCAGCACCAGCAGCTTCCAGACCTCCACTTTCCTCACAACTGAACCGGTCAGCATCCTGGGCAAAGGGAGGCATCATTCTGGCAGTTCAATAATTTCCTCAGCAAGTCCGAAGCATAGTGTCAAGTTTTCAGAGCCAGAAGGCGCAGTCTGTAGAGATCGAACCCCAGAGAGCCCTCATTTCAGGCCTCTCGGACAGGAAAAATTCAAACACCAAGATATTTTCAAGTTCAAAGTCAATGAGGGATCATCCATACACAGAAATGTCACTCACGGGATTGGAAGCATACCAGAGACGTCAGCTATCAGTGTCAACGAGAGTACCAACTTCAGGTACACAGAGTCCTCGAAGCTTGTAGGAACTTCTTACCGCTGCCCAGACAGTCCTCGCTCAAAAACCCGGATGATCACGCGTACGCCCGACCGCAACTCCATAATCGCCTCCATGGAGTTAAAAGTTCCATCCTTCCACGACCTGGGAGTCCCTATGTCGGGCAGCAGCGGAGGAGGACTGACGCCCTTGTTGGGTCCCCCAGAGAGACGGGGATTGACCATCCTGTCCCCACACAATCCAACGCCCGAACTCCATTTCTCATCGACCTTCACAGTGAGAACTCGCAAGGGAAAAACCATCGTGTTGCCCAAGTTGAGGATACCAGCCTTCCAGTCACACTCCCATGACAGCATTTTTCTTGGGTAAGTTCAGTAGCTCTTGATTTTCCTTTGGTAACTAAAACTTGATTTTCCTGGATAAGTTAGATTCTTGCTTTCCTTCGTGCAAATTCACTAACCAACTTTCTCTCGTGTAACTTACTAACTTTTTTCCATGGTTCCTAATTTTACTATGTTACAGTAAAACTAAAATTTTGATCACAACATTATTTGTAAACGCAGGTGCTTACTAATAAGGTAAATGGAATTTATTTATTCTGTTTGTATACAGATTTCAAGTTAGTATAACAATTAGATCTCAATGGTAGGCCCATTAAACAAACTTTCATAATGAGATTATTCAGAGTAAACTTTGATATAGGTACTAAACAAATTCGCTGTTGTAATCGGCATACTTGTAGACTCCTGTCTTCAGGAGCTCATGAAGAAATACTTAGGTAACCTGGCTGTGGTGCTTACATCGTCATGCGTGCAGGAAACCCCAACAACCAGATACATCAGGTCATCAGCAGGAAGGCCTGATGTGGGGCCGGAACGCGGGGTCGTTGATCCTCGTGAACATCTGATAAAACCACATGAAAAGCCGGCCAGAGAAGAAGCATGTTGGTACAGATTGTAGGAGAGGTGCAATATAATACCGGAGCTGCATGTGTTTAGATGCATATAAACAAAATCTGTTGGATTTAGAACCGCTTCACTTCCTCACGGTCGAGTACCTTCCTGAAGAACCAGTGACCTGAATGAGGTTAAGCTTTATCTGTCTGTGAGAAACATTGTGATCTGGGGAAGGTGGGTGGTACTATCCTCAGCATGATACACCTGGGGTGGTACCAGCCTCAGCATGATACACCTGGGGTGGTACCACCCTCAGCATGATACACCTGGGGTGGTACTAGCCTCAGCATGATACACCTAGGGTGGTACCAGCCTCAACATGATACACCTGGGGTGGTACCAGCCTCAGCATGATACTTCTGGGGTGGTACCAGCCTCAGTATGATACACCTGGGGTGGTTCCAGCCTCAGCATGATACACCTGGGGTGGTACCAATCTCAGAATGATACACATACATGAAATACAACTGAGAATGATAATACTAATACACGCACATCAGGGTGAAATACAGCTGAGGATGATACGTACCTGGTGAAAAGAGTATGGAATGAAACACACTTAATGTAATACAGCGTAAGATGATGCACATGTAGGTGAAGTATAGAGTGGGGTGATACCTCGAGGAAATGGTTGGGTATGATGCAAGGTTTTGGTAATTGCATACGAGTGTCAACACTCGATACACGTGTTGAATGCAAGATTCATTGACTCAGCCTCAGCACGAGTCATGTCCTGTGTGCAGCCTCAGCACGAGTCATGTCCTGTGTGCAGCCTCAGCACGAGTCATGTCCTGTGTGCAGCCTCAGCACGAGTCATGTCCTGTGTGAAGCCAGTACGACTATTAATATTTCTCTCAGATTTATAAGTAATGTTTAGAGAGGTCTTGACTCTTACATTCTCCTTCAAGTGTCATGTTACATCATTTACAACACTTCAGTGTAATATTCATACCTAAAAGTTTAAATAATCTTCACATAATAACCTGTAGTCTAAGTACATCGGATCACTAACAGCCTTTATGGTCAGAGATCAGGCCGCGACAACAGGACGGAGGATCAAGCCTTCACAGCTGCTTGCCGTGAGAGAGTAACCGATCAAAATATTTTTTTTTCATATACTGAATACTTTGTGTGTGTGTGTGTGTGTGTGTGTGTGTGTGTGTGTGTGTGTGTGTATGTGTGTATGTATGTATATATTATATATATATATATATATATATATATATATATATATATATATATATATATATATATATATATATATATATATTATATATATATATATATATATATATATATATTATTATATAATATTATATTATATTATATTAAAATACTGTCCTTCATCTTCATTTGACAGATAATATTTCATATTTTCATCTGTCTCTGGTATTGAATTTAACAATATATAATATGCATATTTCCATTACACGATTTTGTCTCGGGGTCAGACTCTTCTATTTTCTATCAGTGCTTCGTTATAGCCGATATTCACATTTCATTTTTTACATTTTTTTTTTTTAAAGATTGCCGTGTGTTTTATTTTTTAAATTATTATCGTATTTGAATAGTTCTGTTGAATCAGCATCTTGTCTAGCTCTCTTAAGAGTTTGTTAACGTTTTTTGTTCATCTAGCAGTAAATAGATAACCAGCTGTTAGTAGACAGTTGTAGGTGGCATCCAGGTGTAAGTAGACAGTTATAGGTGGCATCCAGGTGTAAGTAGACAGTTATAGGTGGCATCCAGGTGTAAGTAGACAGTTGTAGGTGGCATCCAGGTGTAAGTAGACAGTTGTAGGTGGCATCCAGTGTAAGTAGACAGTTGTAGGTGGCATCCAGGTGTAAGTAGACAGTTGTAGGTGGCATCCAGGTGTAAGTAGACAGTTGTAGGTGGCATCCAGGTGTAAGTAGACAGTTGTAGGTGGCATCCAGGTGTAAGTAGACAGTTGTAGGTGGCATCCAGGTGTAAGTAGACAGTTATAGGTGGCATCCAAGTGTAAGTAGACAGTTGTAGGTGGCATCCAAGTATAAGTAGACAGTTGTAGGTGGCATCCAGGTGTAAGTAGACAGTTGTAGGTGGCATCCAGGTGTAAGTAGACAGTTGTAGGTGGCATCCAGGTGTAAGTAGACAGTTGTAGGTGGCATCCAGGTGTAAGTAGACAGTTGTAGGTGGCATCCAGGTGTAAGTAGACAGTTGTAGGTGGCATCCAGGTGTAAGTAGACAGTTATAGGTGGCATCCAAGTGTAAGTAGACAGTTATAGGTGGCATCCAAGTATAAGTAGACAGTTGTAGGTGGCATCCAGGTGTAAGTAGACAGTTGTAGGTGGCATCCAGGTGTAAGTAGACAGTTGTAGGTGGCATCCAAGTGTAAGTAGACAGTTATAGGTGGCATCAAGTGTAAGTAGACAGTTATAGGTGGCATCCAAGTGTAAGTAGACAGTTGTAGGTGGCATCCAAGTATAAAGAGACAGTTGTAGGTGGCATCCAGGTATAAGTAGACAGTTGTAGGTGGCATCCAGGTGTAAGTAGACAGTTGTAGGTGGCATCCAGGTGTAAGTAGACAGTAGTAGGTGGCATCCAGGTGTAAGTAGACAGTTGTAGGTGGCATCCAATTGATGGTAATATAATTTATATTGTGATGAACTTTCAAACGGGACGATGTAAGGTGCCAGCTCTTAATTAGAGCTGAGCTCTAATTATTTTTTTCGCCGAGTTAAATTTTTCTCAGCTCTAATTTAAATGTTTTTCTGAGCTCTTAATTTAAAATATTTTTTCCGAGCTCTAAAATATTTCTTTTGAGCCTTAATATACTTTTTTTTCTGTTCTCTTAAAAGTATATCCTTCTCGTGTGCTGGATTTCCACATTTAAAGCACTATGTTGAAGATGTTATAAGATACCGTCAAGTTGATGCTTAAGACACATGAGCAACAGCGCCTTAACACCTGCCGAATATATAAGCCTACTGTGTAGGCGAAACGTTTCAACAATAAAGATACCAAACTCTTGCACATGTGTCTTAATCAGTATTTAAATAGCTGCTCTTCTCTCGAGTTTGAACTCTTTAATATGTTCATTTGCTTATTATATGTCGTCAACATTTACCTCTGTGCGTTATCTCTTGTTTCCATCTCAAAGTTGACTGGTTATCAACTTGTATCACTCATTTGAATTCTGGTCTACACAAACACATACAAGCGTGTCTAGGATGCTGCAAGAGACTGTATCCCATCTCTGCTACCGGATATTGTAATTTGTTTTTGTGGTGCACAGGGCTGGAAATTCGGTGAGATGCATCTGTGATTCTTCTTGGTTTATTCAGATAGATACAAAATTAATAAGATATGACTTAAAATGACTGCTCTTGTTCACTTGAATGTGTTTCAACTCAGGATATTACACTTGCTCACCACCGTCACCACTCCCTCTCCTCTCAGTACATTCCACTTGCTCATTACCCTCATTTTATGTGTGCCTGTGGCCGCTGGCTCATGTGTCAGGATCTGTCCGTGCTCCTAGCCAACTCTCATCCATGTAAGAGGCATAATGAAAGTTATTCCTGAAAGATGGGTCTTCTGTCTCTTGAATCTGTGCCAATGTCTCTCTCCTCTTGAATCTTTTGTTTATGCTTGTTAAATCCGCTATGAGAATAGCTTTACCACAAGTTTGACCTTGCAAGGGGGGTATATTAGTAAAGTCCTGTTCTCCTGCTGTATCATAAACTGTATTCTTTGTTGAGTTAGCGATTAGGTTGGAAAAAGTTACAGATGTGGATTAAATTCAGCATAGGTAAATGTAAACACTCGCTTTAGCAGTATAATGATTAAATGTGAATATCATTTGTAACAAAGCTGACAGTTCTAGTGTTTGTAAACGAGAATTTTTCATTATAAACATCAAAAACTAATTAAAACGTTTAAACCTTGAATTAAATACAACACAGTGTTCTGGTCTAGGTACAGCATAAAAAATAAAGGTTAGGTAAGGTTTGTCAGGAAACAGGACTAAGTGTTTCCTGACGCGGGTCTTAGTCAGATGATGACATGCCATTGGAGCTTTTGGTCATCTGAACGAGGCCTTCAGCTGGCTTACGGTTCACCCCTTTAAAAATTAATGGTTATTGTTATTATAACCATTCTTGAAAAAAATTAAGATAAATTTAAAGTATTTGTTCATTTCCCCTCAAGGAAGGTTCCTTGATGCTGGTGAGGGGCTCTTGATGTAGGGAATTGGATTTGTGCTCCATTTCCCTAAATTAAATCTGAATACCTTCCACAAATCCTCACAGGCGCTGTATAATCCTACGGGTTTAGAAGAATCGCAAGTTGTATTAGTCACAAGGCCGTGGGGGAAACAATTCACTGGAGACCCCACGTTACGGTCAGTCTTGGACCATTGTTAAGGACAGACT